GGACAAGGTGCTTTCCTGCACCGAGCCCAAGTGCGACGGCGCTGCACGGCTCCGTGGGCTTCGCTTCATGGAGCTGGCCTTCCAAGGGGTCCGAGGGGTCGTTGATGGTTCTTTGCTTGGGTTCATCTGTTGAGAGGTGACTGCTGGCACTGATTAGGGATGAGTTTAGGCTTTTTATTGCCGGTTCGGCTGCTGAGGCAGTACATGTTGGAGCACTGCGTCAAGGGAGCCGAGGATTGTGGCTTGGGTACCTTGTTACGCAAAATTCTCGAGCCTGCGAGTGTCCTTGCAGGTAAGGCTGCCAGCATCTTAAGCTGGGCTCTCCTTTTTGCGTTCTTTCCGGGGCTTAGGTAGGGCCCAGGACCCCTGCGCGAGTTGCGCACCCCGGAGTGTGGCTCGAAGGCACGTGGATCTTCTTCTTCCTCCTCTCTCTGCAAGTATTTACCTGTAGCCAGCCGACAAACCCAATATTATGGCACGGGGCAACTGCAGCGTCTGAAGCTGGAGCTTACAGCTTACTTTGCAGAGCATCCCAAACCAGGACCAGCCTAGAGACACAACAAACCCCGAACCCCCCCCCCCCAAAGCCAGGAATGCGCCTGGGCCATCGCTGACAAAGGCTCGGCCACGCCCCTGGCCTTTGGAAAGTGTGCTAAAGGTGAACAGGGCTTTTTGTCTTTGTGCTTGGGGCTTGGGGCTGGGGTCCATGCGCAGAAACACTTTCGAGACAATGCGCATCCCTGAAACCTGGACCCCTCGCCCATCCCCTGGAGACGCAAGGAAAACTTCCCCCACACTTTTGGCGCCTTCTGCAGAGTCTGGTGGCTCTTCACAACGAAAGGCCGGCCTCTGAAGCGAGACAAGTCCAAACAGAGAGGTCTCAAAGTGCCAACCGCACCCCGCAGCCCACTAAGCCACTATAAGACAGGATCCCTCATATGCCTAATGCCCTCAAGGAAAGGGGTAATTCACACTCTGCAGCTCAGGTGCCGCTGACGACCGGTACCTCGTTTTGGCTGGGGAAACTGGGGTGGGAGGGGGGAGGTGGGGAAGGAAGGATCAAAATTGCGGCGTCTGGGCTTGTGCACATCAGGGGTTCAGAACACGGCTCTAAGCCCTTCCATGGATGTACGCGAGCCCACGAGCCTCGAAAAGCCTCCGAAACAGCAGAAGAAGCGTCATCAGGGGGCAAATTTCGGGTGTGCTCAACCCCCGGCCTTCCCGGCGCCTCGGCACAGAACTGGCGGGGAAGCCATCCTGGGAATCGGAGAACCGAGAAGGTTGGGTCCAAGAGGCCCTGGCTGTCACAGCAGCGTTTTGCAGGGATACCAGAGACCACCTCCTTCCGCGTCTTCCAACTTCTACAGCTGGGCGGCTGCATGGGCGGCCGTGGCAGGGTAGGCCTTGCTCCCTCCGTTGGCTCAGGCGACGCCTCATCAGATCTTAGCAGTTCACTCAGAGGACAGGGACGTAAGGGGTGAAGGGGGAGGGGGTCGGAAATGGTCGGAAGTTCAGGCTTCAGGAGTTACGAATTTCGGGAGCCTTGTCCTGTCAACCAGCAGCCGGGATATCAAGCAGTTCTCCGCTTCTAGAACCTCCTGTGCTCAGATATTTGGCTTCGAAAATCATGGTCAGATTACTAACTGTTGCGGAGGCTGGGATTTCTCTGGGCTCGCCTGCTCGCAGAAAGGATCCTCTGCGGACATGGTAGCCGTGCCCTGCTTCTGCAGGGTCGAAGAAGGCGGCAATGTCCTGGGACGGCAATTTTCTCTGTCCAAGCCTGTACCCTGCAGACGCCCTGCTACCAAGATGCGCTCGAAACTCAAGCACGAGCATCACTCAAAGCTCTCAACTTCCAAAAGCCCCTTACACCCGAAGTCCGGAATCTTAGGCCTTAGGCCCTGAGAATCTGCCAGACCTCGGGCATCAAGTCTGAGAGTCCAGTCCAGATCAGGGTTCAACTCCAATGCAACTGTGAAGGGCCAGAGCAGCCAGGCTACATTTTGCTACGGCCGAGGAACGCAGAAGCTTTCATCTGGCTTTCAATCCCGCTACGTGTAGCAGTGCAGCGATAGGTACGAGGCCCCACAGTACGTCAGCCACCATCTGAGAGATTTGCTTGAGACTGCGGAGCCAACCTACTGGCGAGGTGTATGTATCCTCAGACCCACAACCCTGAAACACGAAAGCCTCGATTCTTTGGGCACGATGGCACGATGGCCCCCAAAAGCCCCGTCCAGGCCCGACATCGACATGAAGCATCGGCCAGGTGGCTCTTCACTGGTGCGGCGCGCTACCAGGGAGGCAAGCTGCGAAGCCAGGCGGCTCGCCTCTCTCAGATGATATGAAAGTCTATTTTACAGGACTTCAGGGTCCAGACAGCACCACAAGACCCTGTACCCAATCTGTGAATCTCTTGTGAGTTGCGAGCCCTTGCTGCTGCAGGTGGAGTACGAAATGGCAGACTGGGGATGGGGGTGGGGGCAAGGACGTTGGGCTAGTCGGCGCCAGCTTGAAGTCTTAAGCTATCGTCTCACGATCTATCACCCCAAGCAGCTACAGCTGCTTTCGTTTCGGCACACTGCAACCAAACCGAAACCCCAAACCTTCAGGCTCTGATGCCTGGAACCTTTTCCGGCCATGTCCCAGCCCCAAATCGCTCTATACCGAATCCAAGAATCACCAGGTCAGAGGGACAGGAGTATATAATACTGCTTAAGAGTTTAGAGCAGCTCTGCTGTGCACCACTCGAGGGGCTGCGCCTTTCCCTTCGACTGCCCCAGGCCGTAGCCTCGAGCTGAGGCTGGCCAACATTGACAGAGTCCCCTAAAAAGAGTCCTGCAGTATGCGCCCTTCGCCCTGCGGTTATCACAACTGTGTTCGTCTTCAACTTTTGTTCTTACTATTCTTGTTCGCTTTTTCCTGAGTCCGTGAGGTTTAGGAGCCAACCTCAAAACCCCTCAACTGCATAATCTCGAAATCCCACAGGGTCCCACAGCCCTACAGCATTCTGTAACGCCGGACAGGCAAGGGTGTATGCGGCAACTGAAAATCCCACCGGCCCTCCAGGGGCCCTCCAAACTGTGAATCCCCCCCCAATCCAAAACGAAGTGCGCACAAGCATCTTGCACAAGAATTAGGGTTAAACAGCTGCGAATGATGTGCTATGAGAGAAAAAAGCCCGAGCCCCTTGCGCTGCAAGACGGAGTCGAAGACCTCAGACCTGAGTCCGGCATCCCCTGAGGCTGACGCTCTGGGGATGAAGGGCTGATGTAGGGCTCAGGTGCTGGGTTATAAGACTCGGGTGCAGGGTTTTCTGTAGGAATTGAGGTGTTCAGGGCGCTTTGCCCTGCTCATCACATCAGGTATTGAGCCCTGAATTTCGTTATGGGTCTGGGCCAACGATGGAGGCCCTAAGACCGCAGCACGAGCCCGAGGTATCGCATCCTTGTAACCTCTAAAGGCTCTCAACCGAGTTGTTAACTCCAAAACCTTCACGACAGGGGTTGCCCTGGATCCCTCGCCGATTCGAGAGAAGCTGAAAAGCCGCTGAACATCTGTTTAACTCCTTCAGGCCCTGAAATGCCCTGAATTGGCCGCAAGTCCTCGCCCCAAGTCCTCTAAAGGCTGTGGCGGGCTGCTCCAAGATGTTCAGCAGCGGCTCGTCACGTGAGACCAAGGCCGATGTTCGCGGCGTCTCTGTGGGCAGCACCGGGCACCTCTTCAGAGATGCTTATTTTTTCAGAGAGGTCTTTAGGAGTGGGAGAGTTGGATTCTTGGGGAAGCTTTTTTTTGGACATTGTGCCTTCAGGTTTTGGGGCAGTTGATGCTCGATGGCATTTGGTCCTTGGGCGGAGGAGGGTAGGCGCTGACAACAAACCATGTGACCGAGTAACAGGGGAAGTGGCGTTGCCCACGCCTCGCCTGCATTGTCCTGGACAGCGCGACGTGCACAAGGAATGTTCTGTTCATCGATTCATCTGGGTCTTCAACCGAGAGTTCCGAGCTGTTCTATTAGGCTCAGGTGCAGGCTCCTTAGGGTTTAGGGTTGAGGTCCTGTTCGGCTGGAGCGATGTGCAGCTGATCCCAAGCTGCTGTCTCATCGTAGCTCATGGCCTGGTGCGGCGCATATCCAGACATGGATTCTGCAACTTCACGTTGCAAGGAGGTACCCAAACCCCCAGACCTCAACCACACTCGAAGCACTCGCTCCAAGACCTCAAATAATGCATTAGAAGGATCTCAACCCCCTGAGCTACCCTGAGCCAACTTTGCTAGAATCCCTTAAAGCCCTCCTCTTGGCCTTCGTTTGCCCCGGCTTGGGAACAAGGCAGGGCAAACCGGATGCAGCAAGGAACCCGAAGTAGTCACCTCTTGCCAATTTGGGTCTCAGAGGGATTTGGGGGAAATCTGGGACCTGGGACTATCCTTTGAAGCCGTTGGCTGGCCTTTTTCATATATGTGGCCAGTGCGAGGTCGATCGTACGTGCCGGGCAGCTAGCAGTTCAGGGTCTAACGCGGCGCCGAGAAGTCCCAGCACTTCGCCGAGTTTGGCCTGCGAACCCGGTTAGCCCGGTGGGGCGCCGTCCTGTTCAGGCTCCGAGCCTTGCCAAAAACTCATCCAACCTCCCAACCTTTCGCTGTGTTGCTCGACTATTGGAGTTCTGAACCGGACCCACTGCGACCTCGGAGATTCCGCAAAGTGAGGATCGAGCCGTGGTATTTCAGCCAAAGCGTCGTGGGGAGATGCTGAAGGCGTCGCAGCAAGCGGCGAGGAAGTTCACTGTGTAGACCTCTTCGGGCTTACGAACTTTAATGTTTAATGAGCTGGCTTTGTTACTTCTGACAAGAACTCGGCGCTTGGGCCCCAATCGAAAGCTCAACCGTCAAACTGTATGGGTTTGGGAAGCTGGCCTTGTGCCAGCCAGCACTACATGATTCAGGGAGGAATGTCAAGAATCTTTGCATTCAGAATCTAGAGCGGCCTTTGGAGTCTGAGATTACCTCATGACCCACGTGCATGTGGCACGTTCTCCCAGCCCTCCGTAATCCCATGCCTTCTCAAAGTCCTCACGCTCCATCTGTGCCAGAACTCGGAAGAAGTATGCGGCATCGACCGCCAGGCCAGCCGACAGGACCTCTGTCTGGGTTTGGGTTTGTTGGTTTGGTCTAGGGCTTTAGGTGTAGAGGGCTATAGATGCCTGTAGGGTTATACACAAAGTTCAAATGCCGGGGCTTTACCCAAAACGAGGGGAACCCAGCGTCCCAAAACATGGCTTCGATTTTCGCACTGCTGACCTCCGGTTGTCCGACCCCATTGGACCAATACGGTGCTCAAGTCCTTGACTTTCTTGAATCAGCCTACCTAAATCTTGAACCGTCCTGAAAAGTCTGCTCCAAGAGCACCACTTGGTCTCCGTTTCCGTGGGATCACCGTGGAAGTGCTTCGATATTCAAAGTGTCTACCAGATCACCGTGAAAAAACATCACCTCCCCCCAATTTTCGTGGCAGGCGCGTAGCGGAAGCAGCGGCTCAGGTAGACCTGCAGGCGTCGCTGGGAATTGGGGCAAGAATAGCCATGAGTCACAGGCGTCCACGTGCTAAATTACCCTGACCCACACCGCCTCCCCCCGGTCAGGATCCCTGTTCGGATCTGCCAGGAGCCGCTGGTAGTGCTGGATCTTCTCCACCTTCACTCGAAGCTCAGAAAAAAAAACGTAAACGCAAACTACATCAAACTACCAATCTGCTTTCAATGTTGTAGTCTGCGGGTCTTGTGCTGTTGCACTTCGATTACATACTGAAGCCTTGGAACTGGAAAGACCGTCAAGATATACATAGTCACAGTTGACATGTCTTTCAAGGTCTAAGAAGGACGGGACCTATGGTTTCACTGCGGTCCACACCCAAACGCTCAATCAATGCCCAAGATGCTCAAAGCGCTTATGCCCTCCACATCAAAGCCTTCATTCTGCAGGGGATCTAGGCAAAGACAAGTCTTCCGCCCTTGAACAGGCGCCACGCACCGAGTTGAGGTGAAGTTCCTTGTATCTCTGAATCTGCCTGCGCCATGTAGATCGAGTGGGCCTCCTGCCTTCTTCTTTCCACGTGCACCCTGTGCGGCTTCCTTGCGCGATCGGCTTCGCAATACGAAAGCTCGGCTTTCATTCAGAAACGATTGAAGGGGTGCGTATAGCGTATGGGCGGCTGCTACTACAATTTCTTGATGAGGCCCTTTCACACGATAAAACCCGAAGGCCCGGTAAGCCAAAGCCATCAAGCCCGATCCCTTACTGGACCCCATGTTGGACTGGAATTCGTTCGATGCCTGCACTTTCTTGATCCCGCGTCTGATCCTCTTGAGATCTTGAGCTCAAATTGTTCTTCAGCCCTGAATCCGGCAAAACAGCTTTGTGGGCTTTGTGCAGGGCTGCGCGTCAAGAAGTGAAGCACGGAGAGGTTGGCACTCTCCGAGTTGGATTGCGGCTGGCCGATGACGCTGGGGAGAATCGACTGCTCCTCCAAGCACCGTGTGCAAAAGGGCTTGGCGCGGCTGAGGGCTAGACCTCCTGCTTGCATGCAGTGTAGCTCTACGGCAACCCTTAAGCCCTCAAAGACTCTAATCCTAGAGCCATACACGCGAGATTCGAAGCGTAGCCGACGGGCCAGCAATCAGGTGCACAGAGGGCCCATTTTGAGGGTGAGAAGCATGGCCCAAAAGTCCCCAACACCTCCCCTTTTGAATGCTTGAACCCAGCATCCGAAAGCTTAAACGTCCAAGACCCTCAATGGCTCAACCATCCACGGCACCCGTTTAATACTCTCCAGCCCTACAAGAGCAATCCTCGGCGCCCGAATGTGCCAAGAACCACCAAGTTGAGCTCAGATGAGCCTTAAAGCCTTAAAGGCTCCCCCTGAAACCTAAACCCCAAAACTTAACCCCGGACCAAGGTGGAGGGTTGAGGGTTGAGGGTTTAGGGTTTAGGGTTTAGGGTTTAGGGATTCTAAACTCGAAACTTGGAACCCGAGTGCCCGGCCTTCATCTGCTGAATCTCCGTGTGGTCATACTGGAGGCGCTTCACTCTGCGCTGCAGTCGCTCGCTTAGGCTTCCCTGCCTCCGCACGAAGGCCTCCACAACTGCTTGGACTTTTTCAGGGTTTGAGAGTGAAGGCTTCATGTTGCACGGCTTTTGCAGAAAGCCTAGGAGAAAAGAGTGCAAGCTCTTTGCCTTAGGGGTGGGAGGGGCCATCAGAGACGAAACTTGAAGCACACACCTTTAAGAGTTTGGGCTTTGACGGCTTTGATTTCTAAGCCTCCACAGATCCAATCGATGAGCCCGAACTTCCACTTCCCCTTATCACTGATCCCTGAGCCAAACAAGGCCCAGGCCCTGACAACCCCAAGCGACCCTGAACCCTTTTAACCCTAACATGCCCTAACTTCAAACCCTCCACCCAGGCGACCCAGCACAGGGACACTTTGCGGATCTATGCGGGGCCAGGCGCCGAATGGAAGCCATCGGCTCGCTTCTGGCATTTCTGGAAGATGGAGGTGCAAGTCTTCACCACCTTCGCAAGCCGTCCAGAGGAGCGAGAGAGAGAGAGAGAGAGAGAGAGAGAGAGAAAAAAAAAATAGAGAAAGAGAGAAAGAAAAAAGAGAGGGAGAGAGAGAGCAAGAGAGAGGGAGTCCGCACTGCTTAGGCAAGCCCCGGGAGTCAAAACTCATCTCGAATCCGGGCATCGGCGGTTGCGACAGGGTACTGTTTCCCGACCTATTCCTGCCAACCGCCGAGATTTTGGACTGACTGAGACTCACGCGTCAGGCGATACGGAATGCCCCCCCCCCCCCTGCCCCCGTAGGTTCCGATGCTCCGGATTGTCAAAACGTCCGGGAGCTGGCCTCCTGCATGTGGCCCTCGGCTGCTTTCTCGTACCTCGGCAGAACAGCAGCAGCCCTCCAAGGCCCAACGTGGTACAACGGTGGGGGGGAGGGGGGAGATTTTTTGAAGCCCTGGAAAGATGAAATAGCCATCTAGGGTGATGCAAAAGGGAGCAGGAACCATGGTATCTCAACCCTAGAGAATTGGCTATGCAGCTTTGAGCAACAATGCTGACAGCAACTCCCAGCCAAAGAGATGAGCTAAGGCAACTAGGGTGACTAACGGTGGGGCGTATTCAGGCTTCCCTTGGCTGACCAAGCCGGGATTCTTCTCCACTGTAGTGTCGGGCGAGATGGCCTGGAGCGCCCGGGAATGTTCCTTAGCGGAGTTCTCAAGATAAGCTCTTCAGGAGTTGAGGGCAGCATCATGCTGGAGGACGCTTGGGGGCTTGGCGGCTCAAGTGCTGCTCATGAATTCTTGACGCTGTTGCTTGAAATCTTGCGCGTGCTTAACCGGCAAATCAGCCCTGCGCCAGGCTCAACTTTCCGAGTGCGGCTCCAGTGCTCCCTCTGGCCTAAACTTAGGCATGAAGCGAACGTGTGGAAAAAGGCCGCTTGGGTCTCGGGAACTCGCTGTGCAAGCCAGGGCGCCACGCCCCGGCGCAGCTTCTTGCTGCGCACCACGTTCTTGTCCTGCCTGTGGCACTCCATTATGGGATTTCGAGAGTCTACTACTGTCGAGCTACATGGAAGCACGGAGGGCAGCGCACACCAGAGATATCAACCAAATCTTCGCAGCAGTTAGACGAACGCCATAGTGGGGTTTGCGGTTTGCTAAAGGAACTTCTACGGATTCCATTACGGTGTTTGAACTGACCTAGACTTGGAAAAAATGATGCTCCTCCTGAGTACCTCTCCTAGGCTTTAAAATGTGTGGTATCCGACCATTACAGCGCCACGAAAAACTCCTAAAGCACCCCCCCCAGCCCCTCCCCCCCAACCTCACAAGACACGGAATCACCTCCCCCAGACTCCCCCAGCAAATCTCTCCACGAAACTCCACCTTGCTTGCAGATCCGCGATGGAGAGCGCCAGCTTTGCCGAGGCCTTCCCTTCATCGAAGGCCCCGCGGCGTCCACGTCGTCGGGAGCCCAGCAGCCTCGAAACTGTTCAGCTGTCGTTGGCTTGAAGGAAAACATGTCGATAAGCGGCTTGCAACCGCAGATTTTGGATGTCGGATTTCTTGAGGTGCGGGAACAGGGCTTAATTGTGGCGTTTCTGATGCACAAGAAGGACTGAGTACATGCTTCACAAGAGGTGAGGATGGAACCACACTGAGACCTGTCCTTATCCACTTATGGCCAGCAACTCATCTCGAATTGTAGTTGAGCTGGGCGAGGCCCACTCGCAAAACTCATCCTGATGATGAAGCCTGAACCCGCCTTAAACCAAAGCACCAAGAAAGGTTCAAGCCCGAAGCCACATCTGAGCATGTCGAAGCTCACCACACTTTGCAACTCATCAGGCCAGGCTGCTTGGGCTCCACGGCATCGTACCCGCGAGTGGCATCCACGACATCATCCGACAGGAGCTGATTTACCTTGCAGGGGCTCTGAGGATGTGTGGACTGTCACTGTAGGGGTGACGACTATGATGTAGGATTTAGACATCAGCGGAGATTTTGTCGCACGTCGTATTCCGGTATTCCGGTTTTGGGCTCGGGGCTTTGTCAGACCAGCACCGCCGCTCGTAAGCCCTGAACCTCTTTGCAAGCCCCAAAGCGTGCTTGTGGTAAGTCCCTACATGCTAAACAGCTGCTAGCAGCTGCTATAGCAGCTTCATGGATAGCTTTCAGCGCCGGTTTTGCATTTTGAGCCGTCTTAATCCAAAGAAGAGCTCAGTGGGCCCTGTGTTGTCGAGTCTTGTTCAGCAGTCACTAGCGGAAGCGATCTGTAGCTGGATCAACGTGGATCATGTGGCACATCGTAGTCGAGGCTTCCGCTTCCTTCTGTACGATGATGCACATCCAGAAAGATGTCCACACCCTTCGTCCGAAATCCAAACTCTGAAGCCCCGACCACATATGTCCCTAACCTCTTAGAGCTTTCAACACCTTCAGTCTAGACACGCAAGGTTCCGAGCACACTTTTTCCGACATCTACCAGCACATGACTAGTCCCTTTTTTGACAGATCTCTCTGGACGGCACTGGACCCGCAACCCCGGCAATTTTGGATGGCCTCCCTGAGGAGCGTCAGCTCCTCTTCCTGGGCCTGGACCAAGGGGCACTGAGTTAAAAAAAGACATGTATATGGAGAAAAAGAGGGAGGGCGGGGGAGAGGGAGTTCTGAATTGGCTAGCGGTGTACGGGATGTAGGGTCCAAGGCGTAGATTTTGCTTTTCCTCCTCCACTACCTCAGCTCAAAGGGGGGCACGCCAATGTGTCACAGTTTTCATGCAGCGCAAGTGGGAATTAGTTGCGCCCTGAACCAAAGCGAAATTCAACATCTTAAAGCCGAAACTGGGAAAGCCCAAACCCGAAAGCGCCAAAACATCAACCGTTTCGCAGTCCGGATCGTGCCCCAGACACTCTGCCTGACGCTGTCGTGCGCTGAAGGTCGGGGCACTGGGTGATCCGATCTCCTGGACACAGAGAGGTTGGGTGGTTGGCTGCTACTTTCAAGGCTTTTCCACCTGCACGAGCGATCAGCTTACAGACCGTGGGCTGGTGGTTCCTCGGAGCTATGCGAACTTCTGGGGCTGGACCACCTACACCACTAGGCCAAACCAAACATTGCCCTAATGGCTTCAAGCCCAAACTGTCAACCTCACGGAGAAAACGCCTGAAACATATCTCTCCTCCATGAGGGCTTGCAGCAGAATCTCTGCACGCTGCCGCTGGTTGTGGGTCTCGGCCAAATACCTTCAGGTTAAGGCAGGGATGAGGGGGGTTGTGGACTTCGGGTTCAAGGCCGAATAAGGTCCAAGAAGCGAGGTTGATTCAGGCCGAGGCTTGACGGCTCGGATCTGAGATGGTTTTGCCGGCCTTCTTTTCAAGAGCCCGAAGTTGGGGACTCGCCCAGAGCGGAAAAATGCAAAACACTCGTGTTCTCCGGAAGCTCTAATTCGGGTTGTGGGCTTCATCTTCGAAAGCATGATGCACCTGATTGCCTACATGCCCCAATAACGCTGAAGGTTTAGGCCGGCATGTGCTTGCATGTCCCCCACTTACAGCTACGCAGAAAGCCTTGATCCGCAAAACTTGTCTTTTCGAGTTTATCCGCGGGCTTCTTGGAAATCCTACGGGCCTAGGGCGACTCAAAAGCTCATGCCACGCGGCAGCTTCTCCACTTCCGGCTCTCCGAAGATTGAAATGAGCATCTCATCCAGCGTAGGATTCCGCTCTGCCTACAGCTGTGATGCAACGCAGCTGTATCCCGAAGAGACTGCGAACACAACAGGGTTTCTCCCGAACCCCAGAAATGCACCCCTACACAGCCTGACGTCCCAAACTTTGCCCCCACAACCTGCAAGCCCAAAATTGGGAACCCTTCAGGGACTGCGACCACGAAGCCCACAAGACCCGCCAACCGCAAAAAGACTCGCCATGCACGGAGACAGAGAGCACCTCCCTGCGCAACTTCCGCTGCTCCCGCCGGCGCAGGTTGCAACGACGCCATCTGAGTTCGGCTTCTTGGAGTGGGTTTAGGCTTTAGGGCTTAGGGCTTCGGGTCTAGGGTTTAGGGTTGTTGGGGGATGGCAGGGGGAATGGTGCCTTTAGGCACAACTCACTTCTCTATCTAGCAATATTTATTATTTCGCGTCGCGTGTTATGTTTTCTACTCAACCCTTCAACACAGATAGTATATGCACTGATAAACATGAACTGAGCATCTCTGTCAAACCTTCTTGAACTTTTTCTGAAAACCTATTTAACTTCGGAAGTCTTTTCTCTGCACTGACTGCGGATGCGGAGTACGCGATGCAGCATTCTTGCTGCAAATGCCCCTCGATCTCTCCCCCGCAATAAAACTCATTGTCATGGTCATGGTCTACTCTCTAGCTGAAAAAGCTCCGAGATCGTATCCTTTACATGCAGGCTCCTATCAATACCTACCACTCCAAATAGCAGATCGCCCTCCGATTCCTATCGTGTATGCGATTCCTATAAGAGACTCCGAGGATGAGGCTGAGGCAGCCTCACACTTCGTATGGGCCTGCAGACGATCCTTTTACATGCTGTTTCAGCAGATTACACTTCTAGGATTTTCCAATGTCATTCAATTTAGCATACCCTTATAGAACCCTTGGTTGGCAGACATTCAAGATGCCAGCAGGTTGTTTTGACCAGCCAGAAAACCTGCATCTTCGGGATCCCAAGGACCCGTGGTGCCATCACCCCTAAACCCTACACCCTAAACCCTAAACCCTAAACTGCCAACCGCGGTGCTGGAGGATGTCCTGAACCGTTGGCAGCGCTTGGACCTGGCCGCCATCCCCCTGGGTGGCCGACCGCCCAAGCCCTGAACCGGAAGGTCCCCCCTCCCACAAAGGGCGTTTTAGGGTTTAAGGGGAAGTTGAGGGTTTAAGGGCAATTTGAGGGTTAGGGGAAAAAGGGGGCCACCCTCAGATTTTTCCACTTTCCCGCCTCTCTCTTGGTGACTGTCAGCCTCGGCACGCGCTCCAGGGGAGCGATGCCTTCGTCCTGTGGGAAGTCAGGGGCCCCTTAAGTGCACTCTCTCTTCTGGGGCTCTGCCTTAAGTAGAGTGTTCGAAGGTCAGGGTTTAGGGTTTGGTGTGGGGTGCCGCTGCACCCCCCCCTGGCCTTCCGTGGGTCCACCGCGAGCTTCCAGAGCTTTGTCAGGATTGCGGTGGGCACCTTTCGAGGCGTTCGAAGCTTTCTGGTGCAGTTGGGCGCTGCGGATGATTCCAGAACTACTCCCTCAGGTCGCGGGAGTAGTTTGTGGTGCAGCCAAGGCTCTGGTATAATCTGAGGGTTAAGGGCTTAAGGTCGCTTTTGAAAGCACAAGACTGTCGGACAAACTTTGCCAAAAGGTGTGCAGGCATGAGGAACTCAAGATATTGCCTCAAGTGTAGCTTTCTGGACGGTGTTCCGGGTGAAAACAGTCACAAAGATGAGAATTGAGAATGCAAGCTAAACGCGACTTAACGTGCAGCGGAGGCAAGACATGCACTGCCGCAAACTCCATGTCCATGGACGCCCAGAGATGGTGTGCAAACTTGCGCCGCTCAAAACTTATCGCCGAGGCGTGCTCCTCAAATAACGGTATCTGCATCCATGGTTTGGTTGTGCACTTGGCTCCTCATCGAACCATACCACATCCGTTCAAGAAGGGCTTAGTCTTTATAACGCTAAGACTCGAACGAGTCTTGAACTAACGACTGTTTTTACATCGAGGGCAAAGGCATGGGATAAGGCTGAGACCGCCCTGGCCGAGTCTTCAGGAGGCATAGCAGAGTCTTAGACACCCAGAGCCAAAAGAGCACAGAGGAGTTTTCTTAGACCCGAGTCGTGCAATTCACAAGGCCAAAGGCTCTTCAAAGCTTCTTCCGCCGTCAACTCTGAGCTTGGGCTCGGGCCTTTTCTTCCGTGATGCGGTAGGAGAGCCACAGGCCGTCATCCTAGACCAAGGTGGGACTTCGGATGCAGCCTGTCGCTACACTTAGCTTCTAAGGAGCCCTGAAACACTGACATGTAGAAACAGCTTCAATCTGCCCCGAAGGCTGGGAAAACCAACGTTCCGCAGTGCGGGTTGCAATTGTTTCGAGCGCTGTAAGTGGGCGAAAACAGCATTGGGACCCGAAGCCTTGATTCTGCAGACGGAACATCCTGCAACTCCCTGAAAAGGCCTGCGCAGAGTCCGGCCGTGGAGGCGCCTCACGCCAGGCTCGGAGCACATGTGGGATGTTGAGGTGTTGGGGATGTTTTGAAAATGACTCGAAAACAGCATGGACCGAGTCCGAAAACAAAACCATGCGGGTGAGAACACAGCGGGAAAACAGGAATGGAGCCCGACCATCCAAAACCCTGAAACCTTTAAAGCTATGAAACCCTGAATGCACCTAGCAGCCCCTACCCCCTAAAAGCCTGAAGACATGAACCGTAAACCTTTCTGACCACAAACTTCAAAGGACCCTAGAATCCTTTGAAACCCAAACCCTAACCCCTTCAAGCCCAAACCCCGAACCCTGAACCCTAAACCCTGGCACATCCGAGATCACACACTTTTAAGACTTCCGGGGCTTTCTATGGGACACCAAAGCCTAAACCGTAATACCCCAATATAGAACCCCTCACCCTCAACCCTAAACTCCTTTGAGAACTTCCGGGCCTTTTCTCTGGAGGGCATTTCTGCTTCCGACTTGGGTCCGAATGGTTTCTGACTCATGGCTTTTCTTGTGTTCAACCCAGGCGATCCCCGCGCAAACCCGTTGCTGCAGAGCCCGCGCGCGCAAGCGCGCGCAAGCGCGCGCAAGCGCGCGCAAGCGCGCACAGACGCGGCGTTGGACACTTCAAGACCGACATGTTCAAAGCTTCTTCGGAGCTCTTGATGTGGTAGATTCCCAATCGTGAACAGCTTGGCTTGCGATCAGGAGCCCAAGAAACAATCTCCACTACCATTGCTTCATCGAACACGAAGTGCGACTGTCTTGCTCATGGTATGAGGTTGCTCTTCATCTAGCTTCCTCCACAAAGCCTGCAAAAGGACCGTATACCTCTTTGCCATGTGCTGAAATGTCGAGTCAAACCTGTCGAACATGTCCAAATAGACCTACACCTCGTGGAGCCTCATCACTCCCATAACACACCCAGCTACAGATGTGATCAAGAAGTTTTGCCGCTTCACACGCAACCATGCCGTTGCGCTTCCGGCTTTCCCCCTAAGCTTTTCGAAGAACTTAAGCCAAACAAACCCAAACTTCTTTGAAGCCTGAACCACGCTCTACTACATCCCAAACATCCACCTAATTCCCCTATAATTCCCCTAAACGCCCTAAACCCTATCGAGCCTATAGAGCCCTCCTAAAAGACTCAATTGACATAGGGGAGGGCTCGGTCCCAGCCTGAGGTCCCGGGGAGGCGCTGCTCGACCGTGTTCGGGAGCGGGCGCGGGCTGTCTCCGGCTCCTGTGGTTTGGGGTTTTGGTGGGTTTAGGGTTTAGGGTTTCCCTGATTTCGCGATTTTTCGAACTGAACTTCCGAAACCCCCCCCCTCTTCGAGACGCCCTGCCACTGGGCCTCTTGCTGCACTGAGATTTGTTCATGTTTTTTTGGATCGCCCTGCTCTTCATCTGATGTCGGGCACTAAGAACTAGAAATTGGCAGTATATTCTGTGATACCGCCTGCATGACTATAGGCTTGAAGTGCACGAATTCCATGAGTTGGATCAAGCTTCATCCCAAACATCTCGCGTCGTCTCCTTTGAGGATGCTACGGCCGATAGCTGGGGTATGCTTTCTCATTTGGCCCGGAAGGCTCGCAAAGTCTAGGGTTCTCACCCTCGATTTTTCCTCACCTGCTTCTGAAGCTCCAAAGCAAGAGTAACTAGCAGGGCAGATCCTGCAGCACTCTGCATGCGCTTGCACGACATCAGACGTGCTCTTCTTCCTCTTCCTCGCTTTTCAGAAGCATCCCTGCGCACAATCCTGAAATGCGACCCAGTCTCTGGCGAGGTCCGCAGTTCGGGGGAGGGTGAACGGCCAGAGCTCGGTGGCAATATGGTGCTCTGCCCGCCTGCGAGTTGTGGGAGTCGTGGGGGCAGGTCAGGTTTTGAGGTGCATGCCTGGGTGGGTTTTGCTGCTTTTGGAAGCTTTAGGGGGGCCTAAACTTTAGGGGATGTAGGGGTTTAGGGACTTCGAGATTGTTGAGGTGAAGCCCCCAACCTAACCCCCCCCCCCCCCCCCCACGCACCCCCACCCGCAGCGCCTCCGTTCGGCCAAAAAGCACTTCTCACCCCAACTCTAACTTCACTGAGCTTCCCTGAACCCTCAAATTCTGTGGATGCCTCGGGCCAGTCTTACTCGTCGCGAAGAGGTGGCGATCTCACCCAGCAGATCCCGCCATCCCGTATCCTGAGCAGCACGCTTGGCATTGTTGTCAACAGGATGACGATTCTCCCGAGCCTCGATTTCGATGGGGAGAGGCAGTGACTCTACCTAGATAGATGTCACGAGTACTTTTTTCAAGCCTTGAGCCTTTGAGTACTTGAAACGTCGACAAGACAGTTGGAACTTTGGAGTTTGAAGCTTTGAAGACTGAAAAAGGCGAACGGCCTGGAGCTCGAAAGCTCGGAGCTTGAGAGCTCGAAAGTTCCAAGGGCGTCGCCGGAAGACAAGAGCTTTTCGGTTTGTGAGGAGGGGCTTGGGTTTCATCTTTTTCGTCGTGGGGGGGGGGGGGGGGGGTTAGGATAATTTAAGGGTTCCAAGTTTTGGAAGAGGAGGGAGGCGCAGCTCGACAAAGCCCCTATAAACCCTAAAACCTCGGCATTAAAACCACACCCCATAGCTGCCATTGCCCCTAAAGCCAAGCCCTAAACTTCACCCTCTAACCCCCTGGTCCTCTTCACCCCTAGACCCTCCCTCAAACCTCATCCCGGGCTCAGGGTTTCGATTTTTATGGATGAGGGCCAAGGGCAGGGGGCTGCTCAAGTTGACCTGCACCTCATGCAGCAGAAGCCTCAGATCAAGCCTAAACTAAAGGGAGTAGGTCAAGGAGAATCTACTGGAGAACCCTACCAACCACCATAACCAGGGATTCCAGGGATGGTTAACTTCCTGTATACTCTCCTGCAACTGCTTCTTTGACCACAAACCAACAAACCACCCAAAGTCCTTCTGGTTTTCTCCTCGGGAGGCTCGCTCTGTCGGAGTTGCAAACGGATGCAGCGCCCGGGAACCCCATCTACAGGGCGCGCATGGGTCTCAGAAGATGAAACGCCTGAGCACATCAGAAAGTCCCATCGAGACTACCTAACTAGATCTTCAAAGGCTCAGGCCCCGCCATGACTGTAAGCATAGCTGGGTGCTTTGATTTGGTCACCGTTGTTGTTCTTGCACCAATAGGGCCCACAGAAGGATGAATACTGTCTCGCTCGCCTCACGCATCCCACAGTGGCACATTTGGTATAGTCTGAGCACGTTCCTGAACAAAGGTTGGATCCTGGCGCCTTTGGCTTGTTGCATCCGAGCACGGAGCACTTGCCTCAGCATTCCCCACCGCACACGTCGCTGTCCGGCTTTGCGCGCTTGTAGCATCCTTCGATCCGGCAGCGAACCATCTTCAATGGCCACTCTATGCCACGCTGATACTGGGAGGCAATTTTGCGGCACGTGTGGAGGTCGCTTGAGCCAAAGCCCTTCACAGCACCAAGGTTGAGGCTTGAGAGCTCGAGGCTTAAGGTCTAGGATTTGGGATTTAGGGTTGTTGGGCCTCGCGGGTTGACGGTTTGCCGTGGTATTTAGGTTTATCGAGCTTGGGGTTTGGGCTATGCCCCTGATGTCTCAGCAGCCCTCCACACACTGGCAGGATCGAGGTTTCGGGTTTCGGCTTCAGTGGTTTAGGTTCAGGGTTTAAGGTTTAGGATTTACGGCTTATAGGGTCCAGGGCTTAGGGTTTACAAGGAAGTCTGGAGTTGGAGAACTTCTCGAGCTCGACGAATGCGATTCTTGAGAGTTTGCGAAGTCAAGAGATTCAAGCGTCAGGAGTTTGAACCTTCGAGGCTGAAGCTTCACACTGTCACAATTTGACGTTTGACGACACCCGAGCACACCCTGAACCCTGCACCCTAAACCCTAAACCCTAGGTAATCCCTCCCAAAGCTGTCCTGAAAGAAGCTGAACATCTCGACTCGAGGAAACTCTCAGAAACCCAAGGGAGGTGTTCAGTGCTTCACGAAGGAAAGGAGAGATCACGGATGAAAGAGGCGTTGTCGCACGCGCACGTGGCGCTTTCTGAGCTTCACCCTCTCAGACTCGGGAAACTCTCAAACTCGCAGCGGTCAAACTTTCAAGCTGGTCTTGCTTCAAACTCTCAAACTCACGCACTCGAACAGGCGTCAAATCGAACAGGCGTCAAATCATCATTCAAACTTAGAACCCAACCGGCGAAATTTCAAACTTTCGAATGGGCTTCGAAAATCAACTCTCAATTTCCAATAAACTCCAGATCTTCCAAACAACTGCAAAGTCGCGGAGTCGACACCGCCCCACCAACATACGCATGAACTCCAAACTCGAAACTTTCAAGCTTTCAAACTTTGGAACTCCCAAACTCGACCGTGGCTGAAACTTTCGAGCTCGAGATGCCATGGTCCAAACTCTCGAACTCGCAGTCTCGAATCGTCGAACTGCAAACTTGCAAACTTTCTCAATTGCGGGTATTTTCGAAAGTTCGGAAATTGATCTTGAGAAGAGACGCTCGAGCTCGATTCCTTGAACATTCCAACGCTTGACCTTTGAGGTGGCTGAACCTTTGGAAGCCTGAGAATTTGGAGTTGAGGGCAGGTTACATTCGCGCATACTCAAGCTTCGAACTCCAAGTTTCGAACTTCGTACCCTCTCAAACTTTCGAGCTCGAACGTCTTCGAAGTCTCAAACTCTGAACTTCCTCTACTTTGGTCCTTCGGTCCGAAAGCCTCAGCTGGCCCCGCGAATTGATGCGCCGCTTCCGAGCTGCTGCGTGTACATGACTATCATCCTTCTAGAAAGCTCTGTGGTCCTGTGGCCGATGCGGACCATCGTTCAACATACCCTGAGACACAGCCGGGCATAAGAATCCAAACACACGATCCGCTCAACATCTGCTTCTTTTAGGCGAGCATCGATCTCCCGATGTAAGGGCAACTGCTCGTGCTCCGCGTCGCCGCCGCGCCCCCGTCGTGACCTTCGCTTGGCCTCGGGGCTTCTGCTCCGGAAGTCTTCCCAGTCCCACAAGCTCAGAACACCCCACAAGCAAATTCAAACGAAGCCCGCTAACGCCTTGCCCCAACTCGACCTTCAAAACGGACTTCAGGGGAGGGGAAGGGAGGGCGGGGCTGGAGGAATCGGATGTAGTTCGCGGAAGAAGATCACACGAGTACGGCCAGGGGGCTTCTTTCAGCCCAGATCAGGCTGCCTCCAACTTCATTACTATCATTACTATCATTACTATCAATACTATCATTACTAGTATTACTACTATTACTAGTATTACTACTATTACTACTATTACTACTAGTACTACTATTATTACTATTATTACTGTCATTATTCTTCTTGTTATTACTAGTGGATCAGGCCTGCTTCGACGTCGCCTCGCGGGCAGCAGTGATCGGAGACAAGTCCTGGGTCGAGCTCTTTGCGACGTAACCTTCCACACCCTCAATGTCCTGAATAACCTTAACCCCCTTCCATAATCCCAGAAAAAAGCCCCTAGTTTCCTGAGCCTTGAGACTTAAAGCGACTTAAAGTGACTTAAAGCCCCCAAAACACCGGACCTGAACCTTGAGTCCAGGATCTCTCTGGCGCTGGTTCTGTGCAACTCGGGCGGACTTGAGGTCCACGCTGTTCCTGCTCTCGGGATTGAGCTTTGCAAGTATTGATGAATGTTATGAAAGCTTAAATGCAGCACTCCCAACCTGCACTGTGCCAGTTCTGGGATTTTTTCGCAGCAACTTGCAGAATCTGTTCGGCTTGGTGGTTGCTTCTCCACGCATTCGCCTACTTTCACACGAACCCGCTAAATTTCGAAACCGGAGGGCCGAGATTGCTTTCTCTGCGGGCCCGGTCAGCTTGCAGCGAGGAAAGAAGCGATTCTGAGGTTGAGTTTTGTTGCGACTAGGCTCGCCATTGCCACGAATCCTGACAGTCACATGTCAACCCCCCCCCCCCCCCCCAAAAAAAAAAAAAAAAAATCCGGAGCTCGAGCTCCTCAACCCTGATGTCTGTCGGCCCCTTGCCCCCAAACTCCATCTCAAGCCGGAAGCCGGAAGCCACTATCACCCCCGGTCATCCTAGAAACCCCATGTTCAACACAATGACACGGCCTCGCTGAGCGCGCCGGCTTGTGCAGAAAAGGCCGGAACCTGTGGGGGCAAGGCAGTTTTTGCAAGGTTCAATGCTTGGCCGGCCTGGAAACCCTGGCTTGAAACATCTTGAAACTTCAGGGGCTTTCAGGGGCTTTAGCATAGGCTTCGGAGGGACCTTGCACACCTTGGACGCGATGGCCACTATCACCAATCGCATTCCCTACTCACTGCTTGGCCCTGCGAACCTCAAACCCCTCAATGCCCAATGCATCTTTGCATCTTCGTACCGCTCCTCAAAACTCTCGGGCCGCCTAAGCCCTAAACTTCCACATCCCCAAGCCCGAATATAGGGGTCGGAATAATTAAAATAGTATTCCCTTATGGTTCCTTTATGCATATACGATAATGACCCTCAAAACCCCATTCTAATCATTAAGGCCCTCTTCAAAGGCCTCTGGTTGCAGCGGCCATGCCCAGCACGCTCAGTTTGTGCAGCTTCCGCGGTGTGCTCCTCTTCTAAACAGTGAGGGCCTTTTTTCTTTGGGTGTAGGGATGCTTTTGGGAGTTTTTTGGGTGTAGGGATGCTTTTGGGAGTAGGCCTCTTTTTGGGGTGCAGGGATGCTCTTGGGAGTTTTTTGGGTGTAGGGATGACTTTCGGGATGAATTGGAAGGTTGGTCTAAGGATTCTGTTCTTTGAAGTGAACCCCTAAACCTTACCTCTAGACCAATGGACTCCTCACATCTCCCCCAGGCATTGCTGGTAACGAGCAAGCTACATAACTTCGCGGCGACTTCGCGTCTCTGCGTGGCTCATTCCAAAACAAGACTTTCAGTCATTTCACTTTCTGTCAGATTCATGTGAACCTATGTGAACCTCGACGACTGCAAAAACGGCTTTGACTTTCGAACCCTGGCTGTTGTGAGCAAGGCTGATGCAGCAACACAGGCTATGCATGCAGACTCACTGAAGTTCACCTACTTTGGGTTGACAACCCCCGCCTCGTTCAACGGCGTCAGGGGGATCAGCAAGTCCTGAAAGTGAGGGGGGGTAAGGCTCAGGCGGCCTAGGACCTTGACACTTGACACCACAAAGCCTCCGTGCTGCAAAACCACTGATTAAAAAAAAGCCTGCACATCCAGAATGATTCCGCTTGAGGGAGAATGGCAAATGCAGCAATACATTCAAAGTGAACAATAGCATCCCACACCAGACCCTGACACTCGCAAGGTCACCTGGCGTTTGACAAAGCGATGTGCCCGCCCAGGCCCATCACCAAGACGCCAATTGACGGAGGGACAGTCCGAGTGTCATTCAAAAAATAAAAGACCGGAATGTGGGCACGGAAGGGATAGGGGCTTTGGCCTCAGGTCTGGTACCATGAACATCTCCTCTCCTACTTGTGAGGGCGGCGCGAAAACAAACTAAAGACAAATCGAGACTGGCCGATGTTGGGCTAGGCTGCCGAAGGAGTAGGAACGTGTGCGCGCCGCAGCCACTCACGAACAAACCAGCCCCAAACACGAAGCCTCCAATCCTGCACTCAGACCGTGATTCTTTGAAGCTACCGGAAGCCAAAGCCACAGAGTCTCAGCCTAGATGCTGCCGGCTTCGCTGGCTCCTTCCTGACAAAGGAGCATAACACTGCAGGGCACATCAAGCCGCAGCAGCTGCAGCTGCAGGGTTTCGGGCGGGCGAAGATTGAAGTCTCCAGATCATGAGCCCTGCAAGCATGAACCTGGACCGACGTAGACTGAGATGACTGTGACTATTCCCTTACATCAGCCCGACTTTGAGGCACTAAATGTTGACCCTGAATCCTAAGCCCTAGTTCCCGAGCGACAAATGGAACCGGGCGGCATCTCATCACGTTGCATGAAGTGTAGGAGGTTCTGCGGCAGGTTCCTTGACACAAAATCTTTAGATGCTTCAGCGCTCTTCGCCTTTGAACTTGCCTTGGGCCCGATGGTCCGTGCTCAGGCTTTGGAAGCTGCGCAGTGGATTTTGAAAGCAACGAGTTGGTCAATGTGCACGAAAACAAACAAGGTTGTGCACGCTACTGTGGAGAACGCTGTGTTCCAAGTTAACTCTTGCTCATGTCTCTGTGTTCGTGACAAGACCCGTTTCAATCTGACGGCCGAGGTGCAGGGGTGGCACCTCCAGCAAGTTCAGCCGCACCGTGCTCGACCTGACGAGCAGTCTTTACCAAGAAACCATACTCAATGCCAACCCTGGGCGGCCTCCCGACACATCACGCGATGGCCAATGCAACCCCACAGCCCCAAGTGCTCATGGCAGTCAATGGCGAGGCTCGGCCCCTCGTCATCCGGCGCTAGGGCCGTTGTTTCCGCCATGGCTGCTTTGGAGGGGGTGCCTGGTGTGGGAGGGGCGCAGCTTTAAATTGCACGCCGAAGGCTTGGCATTGCTCCGGTTATCAGCTCTAAGAGGTCTAAAGCGTCGAATGCCACGCCTAGCCTCAACCCTTAGAGGGTACGGAGGACCAAAGCTCGATGCTATGCCGGCCTAAGCTGCCATGCCTGTCCTTCTCATTGTACCATGCTCAGGGGGGCGAACTCGGGTGTTAATGCAACGTGGACCGTAGCTTCATCAGTCTTGCATGCTGAGCTGAACCGTCCTCCCTCCCGAGCCTTTTGACCTTGAACATGGATTCGACAGGCGGATATGTCGGAACGAGTTAGCTAGGATGCTTTGTGAGCGAGGCGCAGGTAAGAGAGAGGGAGAGAGAGAGAGAGAGAAAAACATAAAAGAGAGAGGGAGAGAGGGAGAGAGAGAGAGAGTCTCACTCCTCCAAGGTGACCTGGGACGATTGCGTGCCTCTTGCATTGCGAGGGCTTCTTGACGGATGTGCTGCAGTCCTGTGTATGGTTTCAAAGGTGCCAGGTTCATTCAGGCTTGTTCTTCTTGAGACTTCGGGTTGCCATGCACGTCCACGGCTGCGCAGGTCTGGGACGGTCTGTACCTAATACCACCTAATAACCCAATGAAAGGCGTCGCGAAGGTACGCAATCTGGAGAGGAAAGCGCGACTTTTCACAACTGGCCTCTAACCATCGTCATCGACCTAGTCCGGCGCACATCCACTTCGGGAGTACTGGCGCCGACAGAGACTAAGAGATAGCTGCCTGATTCTCCCCCTGAAGCTGGAAGAGTGCCCGGACGTGCTACTCAGCTACTCTAAACCCTGAAACTCTTTTAACTAGCTGAAAGCCCAAAGCCTTCAAAGACTCCACGCCCCTCCAACCCCAAGGTTAAACCGTCCCTTGAACTCCTTGGGATTTATGTGCTGTACATCACGGCTTTGACGTCCGTAGTTGCGGCTTCTGTGTGGACTCGTGTTCCTACGGTCTTTCAGGCACTCTCCTGGCAGCCAAGCCAAGGGATCTCGTGGCAGCGCTATATTCTTGCCTCCAGTTATGGAGGTGGTACCGAATCGAATTCCGAGCAACTTCAATTTAATGTCTCAAGCTGCCGCAGAACCCAAGTAATCGTCGATAGGAGATCCCCGTGCGGCGAACATCCCAGAATCAAACGAACCGGATGCTCCCGCGAGGCACCTGGAGACAGGGTGGGTGTGGGTGTGGGTGTGGGTGTGGGTGTGGGTGTGGGTGTGGTGTGGGTGTGGGTGTGGGTGTGGGTGTGGGTGTGGGTGTGGGTGTGGGTGTGGGTGTGGGTGTGGGTGTGGGTGTGGGTGTGGGTGTGGGTGTGGGTGTGGGTGTGGGTGTGTGTGTGTGTCATATACAGTGCTCTGCTGATTTAAGGTGGGACAGCTGGCGGCCGTGGTGATTACGCCGTTTACGCATCAACAGCTGTCATTCCGGGGTTCTCTTCTTCTGTCCCGTTGGAGCGCCCTGCCAGCATGAGTGGGCAAACTGACCGAAACTATGCCGAACTCCAAGAGCAAGCCATCCCAGCCCACCCAAGTCCCAAGCTCAGCCCGTTTTGGGGCATGCGCCTCTACTCCTGGATGTCTGTGAGCGCGGTCTCCTCCTGGATCTCAGCCTCCTGGATCTCCGTGAGAGCGGCCTGCGTCGTGCCTGGACACAGAGCTGAAATTCAGCTGCTTGAGTAGATTTGGGGGGGATTTCCGACATTGGGGGGGGTTCCTTATTGGGGTCCTTATTCGGGAATCCTACTACTTTGGGGTCTCTATTCGAGGTCCCGCATTTTCGTAAACTCTCATTTATTGAGTATGGTGGAACACTGTGGAACGGGAAGAACAGAAGCGCGCTTTGGTTTGGCGACTCTTTGTGCTGCGTGGCCTTTGCTTCGTCGAACCCCATGACCAACCCTGATAGATCCGAAGCTACCATGGGATTGGATCCGAATGATCAATCTCCCCTGGACAACGCGTTCTCCGTGCCCCATCTGAAAGTCTGAATGGCCCAAACGCGACGACAGTTCTGCACTTCGCAAGGACTTGTGCAGGAGCACGATTTCCACATTGAAGTGGGTGCAACTGCAAATCTCTTCAAATCTTAGAACGGAGGTACCAAGCGAACGCGCCCAAGATCCTGCGCAGGAAAGTGCGTCCAGTGGCACGTTTCACGACATCGCAACATCGAGCCAGCGAAAACATGTGACCCGACGAAGGCTTCGTGCTGTTCGGTCAGAATCCTACGGCATGGCAGTGACAACGGTTCTTGAGCAAACCGTATGAGAGGCCGCCTCTCGTGTGCCGGCAAACTTAACTTCCCAGCTCTAAGCCCGAAAACCTTTACAACGATGTGGAAAGAACACATGCTGAATCCCCGCAAACCCCCCCACCCGAATAACGGCCCCAGCCTGGCGCGGTTGCGGAGATTGGATTCCTTTGCAGCGTGGTTGCGCAGCCCTTGACATCAAAGCAGTGTCGGCATCGGCTTCGGTAAAGCTAATGCACTGCTCTAGCGTTAGGGTCAATGAAGCGACCAAAATCCGAAACCAGTCCTGAAACCTCCCTCTCAGGGCCCGGCGGCTTCACGACGAATTCAGGAGCCGCTCGGCTTTTGGAGGCTTGGGACATCCGCCTCCCGGTGCTGTATTTGCTGTCTCTCTCTCTCGTGAATCCCAGAGTGAATCTCTCTAGCGTGTTTGGCCGGTGCAATCGGGCAACCAGGTGCAATCAGGTGCAATGAGGTGCATCAGAGTCTGCACACTCCAAACCCCCACTTCGTGGTTGGTTTTACCTTGTAGGTGCTGCCGTATGGACGAGCTGATGAACTCAGGAGGAGCATGGAGCCAAGGAGATTATGGCGCCTTGTGGTTTGCCAGCGTGGCCTCACATCTGCCATCTGCCATATGCCATATGCAGTGGAGCAAGTATGCATGTGCGCACCGGCTCCAGACATCCGGTCCGGTGCAGTGCCAAACAGGCTTGCCTGCTGGTGCATGAGAGCATCGGCGGTGAATGGGGAGCAGATGCATTGGATTGACAACTGGTGCAGTTGCACAGTGGAGTGAATGCGGCGAATAGTCTTGTGCACACGGAGAGGTTGCCGTTTATTAACAGGGCTAGAAGCGACACAAAAGGGTCCACACATAATGAGGTTCAGTGTACAATGAGAGCACAGGGAAAACCACGTTTGGGAGAAAACCCTGTGCTCCACACTGCAGAGGTGCCGTCGTGTGTAGCACCCCGAAAGAATGAAGTGTGATGCGCACATGCCGTCGCACGCAGCACCTCGGAAGTTGCGGGCAGTGGATCACTGAGGATCGAGACCCGTGCCCGCATGTCGAAGCCCAAGGAGCAGGCCACGATCAGCCAATGGCTGCAGCACCGGATAGGAATGGAGCGACATCCCCCAGTGGGGAGCCAAAGAATCACTTGTGGAGCCCATGAAGAGCTTGGTCCAGCAGATGTTGGGGGGCTGTGACTCATTGTGCTCGCTCTGCGGCTCTCGCTCGCTCGCTCGCTCTGTGGCTCTCAATCGCTCGCTCGCTCGCTCTCTCGCCTCCCTCCTTCCCTCCCTCCTGCTCTCTCTGTCTCTCTCTCTGCGTCTCGGCGCTCTCTCTCTCTCTCTCTTCATTTCTCTTTGTTTCTTGGGGCATAGGGGTGACCCCCTACGCACTCAGCGCGCCCCCACGTTGTTGTGGCGGCTGGTGAAAATGCGCCCACAGCACCCAGCATTTCTTCAGGCTTGGTCCATTGAATGCTAAATGCCCAGAAGTGGCCCTAATTACCCCCAAATGCACTCAAAGGGGAAGCTTTGCGGTGTCGAGCTGGTGCAACTGCCACTGTACCCCCAAAACCCACGACCCTGCCTGCCTCTCTTGCTTGCTTGCTTGCTAGGCGCATGACCCCCAAGGGCGCCGCCCCAAGGACCACGCACGCCAGAGCTAGTCGGAGTGAGAATGGTGTTAGTGGGATTCGGCCCTTCACAAAAGAGGGGAAGACTGAGGGATGCCTCTCTCTCTCTCTCTGTGCCCGTTGTTGCAGCTAGCCGGAGCAAAGTTCACAACCCCATTAGGTGTAAGGTTGCAAGCGGATGGGAGTCTGCAATTGCTGAGTGGTAAGTTAAGCAAGTGAGCAGAAAGTGCACCGACCGTGAGCAAGGATGACATGCCGTGCATCAAAGCCAAAAAGCTATGAATCCAGCAAGTACCCGAAACACCGCCCTCAATGCAGCGTCGCTGCTGCTCTACTGTTTAGAAGCCAACTGGCTAGTTGTAGGACTGTGATAGTGATTCTTTAAGAAGCTCTTCAACCATTTCGGCTTGACCTTTCGGAAAGCTTTTGAACACAGCATGTCACAGTGGGTGGGTTCCATTCGATACACTTGCCGTTGCACATGGAGTTCAGCTCAGGCTACGGGGACAACACCTGCAACATTTGAGTTTTTTGCATTTTAAACTACTCACCCAACTTAAGTGGGGTGCACGAAGCAATCCAGCTGTCGTGCCCAATTTTTTTTAAATCGGTATATGAATATATGAAACCCCCCCCCCCCTCCCCCCCTCTTCCGCGCCCCCGCCTGTTCTTCGTTTGCTCGAGATAGATCCTCGTAGCTTTCAGCATTGCGCCTCTTTCTCCCATGTCCTCTGCACACACATCTTTAGGGTGCATGCTTCGGATCGGAGTTGCAGAGGGTTGCCCATGGAGGTCTTGCTGTAGCGCTGATCAAGGTTTGGCCTTTTGTGTGTGCAACCTAAGCTTGGAACCGCCGCTCGGAAGCCTTTCTGAGAAGTCCAAGACGTAAAAGTGCGATTAAGTGCATATACACACCTATGAGCCTTCAACTCTTAAACGTCGTTAAACACCCCCCGCGGACAACGAAAGAAACCTCTCGTTCCCGGACTCGTTCTCCCAGACTCGTCTCTCCTCACCGGAGACGACGAACACAGGCACCCGCATCAGC